ACACACACACACACACACACACACACACACACACACACACACACACACGCCATCGTCCTGGGGAGCCAGTACTGCTCCGGATGCTCAGGCCGGCTCTCAGGCTAAAGTGGCTTCCCTTCTCCCAGCAAGCGGAAGTGATGGCCACAACTGGTGCCCACAAGCACACCATGCTGAGAGTTATACAGCAGGTGTGGCCAGAGCCACAGGCACAGAGCTGCCTGGCACTCCCTCTGCCTCTCCCAGGCTGACCTCACCATCAAAACTCTCGAAGAGAGGAGGGGTGTGTGTGTGTGTGTGTGTGTGTGTGTGTGTGTGTGTAGACTGTACAAGAGGAAAATCTTGTCCTCTCGGTTGAGAGGTAAAATAAATGTCCCAAAACATAGGACATATAAAGGCACATGCCTGTAATTCCAGCACTCAGGAGACTGAGGCAGGGCTGTAAATTCAAAGGTAGCCTGGAATGTGTCCACAGTAGCCTCTTGGCTATTTAGTGAGAGTCTCTAAAGAGAAACAAAAGAGAAAGAGGAAAGGGAGGGAGAAAGAGAGAGAGGGCCTAAATCAAAGACTCAGTCAGGGAGCAGCAGGGACTGGCCTCCACCCACTCACTGAGCCTGCCCACTCTTTGCCACCCAGATTGGGTGGCGGGACAGCAGGAAGGAACTGAGCTTTTTGCCTCAATGTTGTCCTGCTACAACTTCCTAGGGGCCAGAGACTTGTGTTTCTCTCTGTATTCAGCCAGGCCAGGCTGAGAGCTACATGCTCACTACTGTACGGGGGCAACGGGAGAGCATAATAGGGGTTTCACTGCAGCATCCCAGACAAAGCCTTTCACTGCTCCCTGGGGTGATTGTTCAGCCCAGGCCAGGTGCCCTACCTCAACCGAATCCTAAACACAGTGGGGTTAGGGCTGAATTATCTCGATAAACAGACATCCAGAGGTGCGGGGGCGGGGATTTCTATAGCGTGGGGGCTGTCCTCTTCCCTGCCCCCAGGGCTGGTTTCTGTGAAAACCCAGCTGGCCGCTGAGTTCCCACACCCACAGGGCGCGCTGGTGAGAAAGCTGGGCGTGCTTCTGCTTTCCTGATTCTGGGTTTCGGATTGGGCGACCTCAGCACTGGACTCTGTCCCAGCCTCTGTATGACCTCCGGGAACTGCCAGCTGAGCCTGCTCCTCCTGGGTGGGCTTCTCCAGGTACGTGCTAGAAGTAATGCTGGCGGACTGCCTGCAGAGCACATCAAGGACCAGTAAGACTGTGACTTCCAACCTAACTGCAGAGGTAGGGAAGTGCGACAAGGGGTGGCCTTTTACCCACCCACTCCTCAGAGTTTTCCCTCGCTTTAATGTAGGGCGCAGGGGCCTCCTCTTCCAGTGGGCTTCCTGGACCTGGCTCTCCAGAGTCTCACCAGCTATGGAGGCCTCACCCCCCACTCCTCTCTCTCTCTCTGACAGAGACAAAGAAACATACAGAGAGAGGTAGAGACAGGGAGAGAGAGAGAAAGTCTCCCACATGGCAGTTCACATCCTTATGCCTTGTAATCTTGGCACCAAAGAGGCTGAGGCAGAATTTGATGCAAAATAAAGAAAAGGAAAAGTTCACAAAGTTTGAGCGCACACATCTGCAGCTGTGCACACTGGCGCTTTGATTAACAACCACCAACGGTAGTAACTGATGAGACTTCGATGGAGCTGAGGTCAATTCTTTTTCTTTCCTTTTCTTTCTTTCTTTTTCTTTTTTCGTTTTTCTTTTCTTTTCTTTTCTTTTTCATTTTTTTTTTTTTTTAGCTGAAGCATTCTTATTCCCTGAGTCACACTGGCACCATAAGTGACAGCACCAGGCATTAGTCACAGCTCCTGGTGACAGCAGGGTAGACGCATCTGTGACCTTGGCAGCTGTATACATAAGCCTATAGCACAAGCAACTAGGTAGGGTGTACAGAGCACAGGGCCTGACGAAGGAATACACCTGCGAGCCTAACCTTTGGGGGGGGGGACACCTTTAGTGCGGTGCCCCCCCCCAATTAGGACAGACACTTCCCTGTGAGTGGCCAGTAGCCTCAGACGTTTGGTTGCTATGTCTCTTGATCACAACAGAAAGTCATGCTGGGTGACCAACCTGTTTGCCATCTAGGTTTGGTCAAATACACCCTATGACACCCACAAGACAATGAAATCACCTAACAATGCATTCCTCGGGATGTGTCCTCATGGGTGAGTGACACATGACTGTTTGTCTTAGGACCTTTGTAACAGTTTAGCTAAGTCTATGACAAAGCACTGAGATTTAAGAGCCACAAAATAAATGAAAATACATTTGAAAATGTTTGTATTGAAGATATTTTTTTTTTTTATTTTTTGTGGCACCTGGGATTGAACCCAAGGATTCTTGGCGGCTAAGCAAGGGTCCTACTGCTCATCTACATTCTAGATTTTTTTTTATTTTTTATTTTGAGACAGAATTTTGATAAATTGACCACATTACCCTCCAATTTCCAATCTTCCTGCCTCAGTCTCCCAAAGTATTGAGACTGTGAGTACCAACTTGCTGGACTTACATAAATATGATTTAAAAAAATCTTTTTTCTTTTTAAATTGAGAAGCTAAGACAAGGTCTTTTTTGGGGGGATGGGGGAGACAGGATCTTACTATGTAGCCTTGGCTATGTAGACCTGACTAGCCTCAAACTCACAGAGATCTGCCTGCCTCTGCCTCCAGACTGCTGGGATTAAAGGTGTGTGTCACTCTTGCCCAAGTCTTACTAGGTTGTTCGGAGTAGTCTCAAATTCCTGGGGACAAAGGATCCTTGTGCCTCAGTTTACAGAGTGTCGTAGACACAAGCACGTGATACTGTGTCTGGTTTTAAAAAAAAAATCTGTAAGACAGGATTTGATCTCCAGCACCGAAAAAAAAAAAAAAGAAAGTTGGAAAGAAAATTTATAAAACTAAAGGTAACAGGTGGAGGCCGGAGAGATGGGTCAGCAGGGGTGAGCTGTGTTGCTCCTGCTGAGGATCCAGGTTCGGTTCCCAGCACCCACACTGAGCCACTCACACCTGCCTGTAACTCCAGTTCCAGGGGTCTGACACCTTCTGCTGGCATCTGCATACACATGGTGCAATAAACACACAGGCAAACACGCATACATGTACATTTTAAAATCTAGAAAAAAAAGTAGCAAATGCTAGTGAGGTATGGGGAAAGCAGAATTCCCCTGCAGTGTGGGTGAGATGTAAATAGTATGCAAATCAACGTGAGTGTTCCCCCAAAGCTAGAAATAGCACGGCATATGCTCCAGCCACCTCACCACGGGCATACAGTCAAAGAAACTGAAGTCAGCATGTTAAGAAGACAACTGCACTACCACGATCATTGTGAGCCAACATACAGAATCCACCCAGCTGTCCATCAAAGGATGAGTAAAGAAGACACGAGGGGATGCTAAACACAGTGGAATACCAAACACAGTGGAATACTGTGCAGCCACAGTAGAGTGAAGTTCCCTGTAAGTGCATGAATGAAACTAGAGGACACTGTGTTAAGTGAAACAAACCAGTCATGGTTTGTGTTCCCACTTCACGGTGGGAAGTGAAAAGTTGGCTTTGAAGAAATAGAACACAGAAGAGTGGTTACCAGAGCTTGGGAAGGGTGTGTGTGAGGGGAAGGAATGGTCAGTGGGTCTAGGGGCTCAGTCAGATGGAGGAGTAGCTTTCTGCACTCCAGAGTCCTGAAGAGCACCTGTGCTTGGCACCAAGTAGTTTTACAGTTAAAAATAGCTAGTAGAGAGGGGTTTGAATATTCCCATCACAAAGAAATAATGAAGTCTGTGATGATCAATATGATTACACTAATCATACTTTTATACACTAATGGAAATCTCACTGTGTGTGCTACAAATGTGTATGACTGCTATGTCAATTAAAAATATAAAATTAGGGCTGGAGAGATGGCTCAGCGGTTAAGAGCATTGCCTGCTCCTCCAAAGGTCCTGAGTTCAATTCCCAGCAACCACATGGTGGCTCACAACCATCTGTAATGAGATCTGGTGCTGTCTTCTGGCCTGTAGACATACACACAGACAGAATATTGTATACATAATGAATAAATAAATATTAAAAAATAAATAAAATTATAGAGTCTGAGAGATAGTTCAGCTGTTAAGAGCATTGGCTGCTTTCTGAGGACCTGGGTTCAACTCAACCCAGCACCCACAGGTAACTCACAATTGTCTGTAACTCCAGTTCTGGGAGATCCGAGGCCCTCACACAGACAAATGTGCACATAAAATAAAATAAATACTATTTTAAAGTTGGCGATGGTGGCACACACCTTCAGTCCTAGCACTAGAGAGCAGAGGCAGGAAGAGGTCTCAGGTTTGAGGCCAGCCTGATCTACATAGTAGGTTTCAGGACAGCTGGGATTATACAGAGAAACTATGTTTTGGGGGAAAATTATTTTAAAAAAACTCTGCATACATATTTCCACTAAAACATTCAAGACTATTAGCAAAAGGAAGGGCTGATCAATGCAATTACAACTTAAACAAAAAAAAAAAAAAGAGAACTCTTAAGGAGAGTTTGGTCAAGTAAGGAGCTTTAAAAAAGACTTTAAAATATATCGTTGTACTCACCAAAAAGATATCACCATCAGATTCAGATTTGTGGGCTCAAGTTCAAGCAGAAGAAATTCTCTCCAATGTCACAGCACAAGTACAAAAGGGTGGGGGAAAAGATAAACCGGCAGACCGCTCAGGAGAGCAAACTCTCAAGTAAAAGAAAACAAAGGAAGCGAAATCCATACAATAAAGAGAGCCCTACGCTGACTGACAGGGACGAGTCTGCTGCCCGGCAGGTTCAATAAGTGTCGAGACTGGATGGAGAACTCTCATTTGGTTAGGGATGCAAGGATGGAGGAAGAAGCCATTGATGAAATGGAAAATATGACAGAGAAAAGGGAAGCCAACTCCACCCTCACCCCCAGAGGGGGAAGACACAAGGCTAACCAAGGAGTGCAAACCATGGCAAGAAAATCCAGATCAACAAAATCCTGCAGCGGGAATTGGCTGTTGACCGAAACATGAGCAGAAGGAATGCTCCTGCTACAAGACAGGCGGTTGGCCTAGGTTTCTTTTCGTTTTTCGAGATGAGTTCTTGGTAAGTTGTCCTGGCCGACTTTGACTTCATGAGTCTCCTGCTTTGGCTTCCAAAACGCTGGCTCGACAGATGTGTGCCCTCTACCCCAGTTCATATGGGATTTCAGAGGGGGAAATTTTACAAATCTAGGGAAGATGAATTCTCTCCTAACAGAATGACAAATAGCCAAAATCAACTAGGGAACTAGTCAAATAAGCTGGAATAGACTGGTTACTGATAACGATGGGGGAGGCTGATCTGGAAGGTTTCATGGGAAGAAATTACAGAATCCTTTAGGACTATCTGTGACATCACTCTCTTCCTCCAGGAAGCATTCTGAGATGTTTCCTGTCAATCCCATCATGGGAGAGAAGAAACTTCCAAAGTGCCTTCTGTGGCACCCTGGGGACGTGTTAGCCACACATCTCCTAACGGTACGGTACTTTTGTTGGCCTATCTTGCCTCCTGGACAATAAGCTACCTGCAGCCAGGGCTTTCCTTTCATGGTGGTCCTGTTGTGCCATTTCTGGTCGAATGAGTGAGAGGCATAGGAGCTGCCTTCCCATCAGCCTACTGAACTGCCTCGTGGCAAACTCCCGGCAGGGAAGCCCGGGGAAGCAGATGCTGGGAGAGGACCCCGAAGTTGGCAGAAATAGACTGCAATTTCCCCCGTTACCCCAACATTTAAAAGAAGGTCAAATCATTTTACAGGGGAGGGTATAGTAATTCGTACATGGGGAATGTTCCTGCCGAGGGACAAGGAAGAGGGAGGCTGGGGTCCGGAGTAAGCACGGTTGGCCCCTATGTTTTCCAGGATTAGACAGAGACCTGTAAGTCTCACAGGAGACATCCAGACAGGAACAAAAGATGCAGAATCGGGACCCCCAAGAGCCTGCGGATGAGCTGAGTGGAGAGGCAGCGGATCTGGGAATCCCCTCCACACTAAAGTCCTTCCTCACCTTAGAAACAGAGCTTCCTCAATTTAACCAGGCATTCTTCTGCCCCAGAGCCACAGGCTCTGTTCCAGCTCCCCCAGACATCAGCCAATAGCCACTGTCCCTTTGCTCACCAGCCCAGACCCTTTTCTGGCACAGAGCCCAGAACACATTCCCGACTACCAGTTACTATGGCCATGGGCCTTCCTGTACCTCAAGACCTGGCACTGATCACCCATCCAACTGACATTCAGCATTGAGGACTGTCCCCTCCCACTCCTGAACAGAGGGAAGGTGGAAAAAAAAAGTCCAGGGTTCAGATGGGAGCGGCAGGAGTGTGCTGGTCCTCGGATTCAGCTTGAAGTCTAGGGGCTAGAGGGAACCAGGGACCAAGAGTGAGGAGGAATTCAGCCCCCTAGGATCTAGAGGACACAAGATAGCCAGCCACCCATCTTGCAGGGCGGTAAGTAGAAGCATTCTGAGTAGCCAGGTAGGTAAGGTAAGTAAGGCTGGAGGTGGGGTGGCGGGGGAGCCCTGTTCTCCCTGCTCTTCGCTAAGCCAGATGGTGGGGCTAGGTCCTGGGACCTGTGGGTTGGCAGGGAGGAAAAGACCAGGTCAGGTATAAAAAGACCAGCTGAGCCACCTGGGGCAGCTTCCCAAGATAGGGCTCCTGAGCGCTGTTGGGGAGACAGGGGTGGAGGGAGTGAGCAGATTGGACAGGACTGAATGGGACAGGGACATCTCACTGGATGTTCTTAATTTGGCCTCCACTCCCTGCTTTTACTGACCCCAAGCTTTTCAGACACATGGTTGGCTGGGACATTTGTCTCAGGAAGTGTACAGGACAGGGAGGGATCAGGCGGGGACTCCGGGCTAGAGAGAAAGCTGGCCAGTCCCTTTCTCCCCCCAGGATCCGGGTACCCTGAAATCACTCACAGTTCCTGATGGCCGAGGTGGGAGAAATGAGAGCCCAAGGGGCTCCTTCCAGTTCAGGCTGGGTCCAAGCTCAGGAGCAGTGCCTCTGGGGCTGTTTGCATAAGTTCCCAGCAAGGTCTGTAACCTGTCCTGCCAGTGGCCAATGCCCAGGCAACAGGGGCGGGCCCTAGTCTATCGGAGACCTGGGCCTTCTTACCTCCAAGGCTAGGGCAGGCGTTTTGACCACACCCTAAAATCTACTAGCTAGCGAGGCCAGAGGCCACAGGGAGAGGGTGCTATTGGGGATTGAACCCTGTGTCTTAAACCTGTTAGGCATGACCTTGTACACCCTAGTTCTCTTTTTAACCCTTAATTTGAGAGAGTTCCACTAAGTGCACCAGACTGGCTTTGCATTGCTCTGTAGCTCAAGGACCCTTGAAAACCGGATCCAACTTTCTCAGCCTCCCGAGTAGCTGGGATTATAGACCTGGCCCTAGAGGCCACTTTGTCTCTTGCCTTCCTATGTGACCCTAGCCCTGTCAGGAGTGCTGGTTGTGGCCTCCTGACTATCTAATTCCCCTGCTGTAACCTGGACGTCAGCAGTGCTGGCTAGAGGATTGCAGGGCTGGGCACTGTGCTCAGAACAAAATGGATTTGCTTGTCTTCTGCTCCCACAGTTCTGGCCCAGAGGAGCAAGGCTACTCAGCGCTGGCCACTTTCCTGAGACTAAATTTGGCGGCTAGGGTGGGGTTTTGAGTCAGGAGGCCTGGGTCTGATCTGAACTCACTTCCTCTATAACCCTGTTTGTTTTGGGGGCAAAAGAGTGTCCCATGCCACCTTCCTAGCTGCTAGGCACTGAACTGTGTGGCAGACCTGTGACTGTGAGGACAGAGGGCTGTTAGCCCCTGGGGGCTGTGTCTCACTACATCTTGGGTTCACGGTGTCCAGCTCCATGGTCAGCATACACCAGGTGTAGTGTGAAGTACTCACATGAACTGTGGACATAAAACGCTGAAGGTGGCAGAGATGCCCTTCTCTGGGTATGCCTGTCGAGCAGCCCGCCCTGAAGATGGAGCTGGTATACAACAGGTCCATCTGATGCCCTGTCACCCGTGACACCTGGCGGTCCACACCTTTGCTCCCGTTTTCAGCCACTCTCTTCTTCTAGGGATCCTATCTAAACGTCCCTCCTCCTGCCTCCTCCCTCCTCCCGGCTCTGCCTTCATCTGCTGCTTCCAACTTTGGGATGCCTTGATTGTTTCACCCTCTTACTCTGACCACAGTGTTTCTCCGTCTTCTCTGCCAAGTGGTTGCCCGCCTGCCCGCCGTAAACCCTTTCCACTCACATCCTTCAGCCCCTGACCCACACTGTCTTCTGCAATCCCTTGACAAGCTTGTCTTCTGGTGGCTATGTCAGATAATGTCCCATGGCCTTTGTCTTACTTGAACTTCTGCACATTCGCCTTGACTTTTAGGCTTCTGCTTTTCCTCTTTGGTCCCTTTGTTTCCTCCCGACTTCCTCTTTTCCTCCTTCTGAAAACTCTATTCAGGTGCATCCCATTTTTTCCCCTCTAACCCGTGCTTCCTCCAAAGCCTATGTAAACAATGCCACTGTCTGCCCACCAGTGCAAGTGGGAAGTTAGGTCTCAGCTGCCCAACTGCTTCTCCCTGGCCCCAAATTCCATAACCCTCCCTTTTTCACCATGCAGTATAGCCCTGAAGACAGGAGTCCTTCTCAAACCCATTCCCTTCCTTACTACGAGCCTTCCAAGAGCTGCAGGACAAAGTATAAATTCCCATAAAGCCCTGCCTGAGCCACCACAAACCGTGAGTTAGAACTACAAAGCTTCCATGAAGGCCTGTCCACCCCTCCCCACTGCCCCGCGCCACAGCACCCTAGCACAGCTCCCTGAGGCCCGAACAGGGTGGGACAGGGGCATCTGCTATCAGGATCCTGTCCCAGGCAGTGTACCTCCCAGGGCTGTTCTGTGCTCCCATCATCCCTAGGACTGGAGGCTCACTGGGGACTTGAGAGACTTCTAATCAATTCATGCTTAATGGACAAACAAGAGTAAGCAAATCGACTTGGGGAATCATGGCGGAGGGCTGTGTGAGGAAGTATGAGTGAGGGTAGCGAGTATGACTGAGTTGGAATATGAGTAGGGGTACATGTGTGTGTGCATCTATGTCTTCTGTGTGTGTGTGCATGCACGTGCACACATGTGCGTATCTACGTCCTCTGTGTGTGTGCATCTATGTCTTCTGTGTGTGTATGTGTGTACATGTGCACGCATGTGCGTATCTATGTCCTGTGTGTGTATCTATGTCCTCTCTGTGTGTGCGCATCTATGTCTTCTGTGTGTGTGTGTGTGTGTACGCGCACACATGTGTGTATCTATATCCTCTGGAAAACTGCCAGGCTCACCTTTCAGGAAATTCTTTCCCATGCTGCCTGGGACAAGGCAGGGCAGGGGTGGGGTTTCCTTCCCAAGGGAGAACAAACTCAGCATCCCTGCGGTTTGCTGGGGACAGGGTGTCAGGAGAACCACAGCAGAGAATGTGCTACTGTTATACTTGGCACACAGGAGCGAACAGGGCCAGGGATGCTGAGCCCTCTGTTGAAGCCAAAGAGTTAATCAGAGCCAGCAGCAGCCTCTATGCCAGGTCTTTGGCAGATTTCCTGGTCCCTTCTGTGTCAGTACCAGCCCACCTTCAACTGTGTCCCCAAACTGCTCACAGGAACCTGCTGGGGGCTGGAGGAAGGATGGGGAAATGTCAGGGATCCTGGTAGCTGGGGATATTTCTCAGGAGATTCTGACATTTGGGCGATTCTCTTTTTCCTTGGTCTCAGAGCCTGGATTGGACAGCCACCCTAGGACAGGCTTGCACAGTCCTGGTTCATGGGTGAAGGGGATGCAGCTCCTTGCTTCTTAACACAGTGTGAGCAATCCCTTGGCCAGAATTCTGCACATGTGACCATTTCCCATAGCTAGGAACTCATGGGGGCAGTAGACATATTCCGAACATTACTAGGACCCATAATCTGGAAAGACCCGGGAGTTCTTTAGAGAAAGGAAGCCTGCTCAAGGGCGCCGGAGAATCAAGCGTGGGCATTTAGCCATCTATACCACAGGGGCCTGAACTGGCGGATAAGCAGGACATAGATACTCAAGCCGGTTGAGTGTTGTTCTCTGCAGTGGCCACAAGGAGGAGGGATGATCCGCGGAAACCTGAGCGCAGTGGCGCAGAGCTGCAGGCAACGCCGAGTCAGCGGGACCCTAGCTGCTCTCCCTGCAGCGGCTCCTGCCGAGCGCTTCCACGCCTCATTGCGTTTAAGGTTGACAGCAACTTTATTCCTTGGGTATTGTTTACATACGAGGACACCGAGCTCGTCAGCAGCTGGCAGGTGACCCAGCCGGGTCAAATTCGGGTTTCAGTAGCCTCAAAACCTGAACTCAGCCTTAAGGACAAGCCGCAAGGCCAAGCAGCTGCCCTATGGGGTCTCACCTCCTGGGTGAGGGCACCTGGGTCTCGGTGCCTGAGGAAGTGAGTTCTGGATAAAGCCACAGCGAGTGGCAGATGTCAACCCGTTGGGGGTCACCCTTCCCTCCTTTCTCCCTAAAAGGTTCTAAAGTTTAAGATGACAGGGCCGAGCAAGAGGATTCTGAGGCTTTAAGTGTTTTAAAACGCGCTGTATTCGCTGTCTCAGGTTAACACAACCGGATTCCGAAAGAGAGAGACCTCCCTGCAATTGAACTCGAAAAAAGCCCATTAAGAGTTTCCGTCTTGTTTTGTTTTAAAGGAACCGAAATTTTGGAAGCTGTCCCAAAGAGAAGCAGATGCTCGACTTTCACATCCACCATCTCATCTGACTCGACCTCCACCTTAAGCTTCTGGGGAAGAGTGAGTGAGACCACAGCTCCAAACTGCTCCTCACAGAGCAGGTGGCATTGTAGGAGCGTTATTCGGTGCTCGAACCTGTCCTAGGTTAGTTAACCTCCGAGCAGGATTTGGTACAGGACCTTGTAATCAAGTTCATTTACATTTTTTTCATGAACATGAATATTCACGATGAATGAGATAAAGGGTCAAACAACGACCTCAGTTAAGA